TTGATTTATGTAAAAACGTTTACTTATACGAGAGAATACGTGACTGCAATTTATGTTTTGTAAGTTGTGGATAGATTCTTATCCACCACGAGTACACAATACATATTTCTCCGCTGCCACATTATTTTCAAACATATTCTATTTTTAGGTATGACGAAAAATTGTCTTGTTTTATTAAAACGCTGGTGCCGGAACAAATTTTTTGGCAAATACTCGTCGAGCTCAATGGTTTATTGTGACATGTGTAATTTTTTATGATAAAGTTCCAACAAATATAAACATAAAAACTGCGTTATTTTAACCTATTTTTAACTACTCAATCCAGATAGTTTGTTTCAAAAGTTATAAAATCCGTTTGATTTATCTTATTAGAAAACTTTATACCTAGTTCTTAAAAAGGGAAATTACGCAACATTTTATTTATTCATTTTCTTTCATCATTAACCTGATCTTGGTATTACAGATTTCTCAATCAGAATCTATTTTTGGAATAACCTGAAGCCATTCCCATCAATTAACACCCATTCAGCAGGTGTGCCTAATATCGTCATTCTTAACTTCTAAATACTACCATCTTTAATTAATTTTAAGTTTTATAACCTAACATTACAAGCAACTAGTTGTTGAAAGCAAACAAGCTGCATTTTCAAGAGGGTGGTAAAAGCCAAACTAATTGTTCTGCAGACGGTTATAGGCGCCTAGCTCCAAAATCCCACATTAAACTGAGTAGAATACATTGCTTTAACAATAAGGGAGCAGGTGCCTAGAGGGTGAGTTCATTCGCCCTCGTCGTTCCCCCCCGTCGACATCGTCGCGACGTCTGGGTCCCTAAGGGTTGTGACCTTAAGTTTTTTGCAAAAACCAGCGGTTCCTTATCGTGTATTATAATAGTCATATTAAATAGGCTTTAATCTGCCATTCGAAAGTGGCTATTTTCAACACGAAACCACCGTTATTTTTGTAAATGCGCTTAAGATGTGTTGTTTAGATTACTTCATACTATAATTAAAAAATAAGTTAACGATTTACAGTTATAAGGATGTATTCGTGTTTTATGGCCAATAAACTGCATAGGCACGTGGCTGGTTGGGTTTGAATTGCAAGGTAATTATCATTCCAAATGTATGAAATATCGTTAAATTAACACTTGAGTCATAAAGGTGATTATTTTATAATTTTAAATATACCTATAACATTGTTGTCACTGTGTTGGTCATAATTACAAAAGCGAAAACAAAAGAGTTTGAGTCTTGGTGTGGGATATTGAGTGTTGAAATGAGGAATACCCTATTTCTTCACCTTGTATTTACTCCGCTTGTATATTTCCACTAAGAATCGGTGTTTTAGCGGAAAACTCAGAAAATAAACAAAAATGTCGAAGTAATCAAGTTAAAAATAGAATGAACAAAATATTTTTTTTCTCAAAGTTATTGAGATCACTTATTAAACGTGATTAATTGAGACCACTCTGTTCCTGACCTTTTCAGTAAGCTTGCCCATCTGGTGAATTGTCGTGTCCAGATATTGAGCTGCTGACCTGTGTGTGAAGTTGACCATCACATTCGATGTAGATGTTATCCACCTGTTCCTTTGTCCTCGTCACTACCAGAACTTGACTCGTCACCTTATTCAAAATCATACCACTCTCTTTTAGAGTTTCTGCCACTCGAGTAAGCATGTTGCAATTTGCTCTCCGAGTCTGCGATGAGGAGTACATCATTTGCATATGTCAGAGCCTGGTACATGAACGGTCTGATCATGCCGACCACCCTAGTTTCTGATTTTCTCTTGCATGGATTTAAAACTTCATCCATAAAGCTAGAAATAGCAATGGGGATAAACTGTCCTTCTTTCACGACAAACATGCTAGAGGTGTTCCCGTTACGCATCACCGTTCCCTGCAGTGCTTTCCAGACCACTTGCCTTGGCACCTCATCAAACACAGAGTATATCCAAGAAAGCCATTATGCAGATGATAGATAACTTTAACCTCGTAAAGTACGAACTAGAAAAAATAAGTTGTTCTTGGTATTATCGCCTATTAAAGTAGCAATAATCAGATACTTCATAGTTTTCGTTCTATTTTAATGCTTGTGAAATTAAAAAGTCGTCTTACATTCAGTCGTAATTTTGCAGAAATAAACGAAATTTATTGAAATATAGAATTCCTTAGAACATAAGGTGTAGGATGCAACAATTATCGAGCTCTTTATGTTTATCATCAATCTCAATTAGCATGTCAAAAAAGTAATCAATAGACCATGACTAATACTCCAAATACATTCAGTTTGTTTGAGTACTACTGTTCAACCCCCTCAAATGGGTATTTAGAATAGGGAGAATATTCGCAGAGCAAACAAAACCACTTTGAAATCCCTTGCAGAGTTCAAGATTGGATCGCCGGAAGTGCTCTTCTAAAATCATTATAACTTTTCCACCTTGTTTAGGTTAGATCCCCCTTTTTTCTCGAGTAATTTCATTATGGGATTAAGAATTCGATGGATAACTTTTGTCCAAGTCCAATTTTATGGTCCCAATTAAATTACACTCTTATTGTTTTATTTTATAACTTTATTTTAATAATAATAAATTGTTTACACAACAAAATTAATTGAATCGATTTGTTTAGGTCAAGACTTTAAGGTCGAATTCTTTTCACTTGTTCGTAAGTACAAAGAATACGCGGGCAGAATGCCAAGAGTTAGAGAAAACATTCATTCATGTCATTGGGCAGTGTCCGAGAATTACTCAAAACCAACACGTCTCGAGACCGTCGTCGTAACGGATGCCGCATAAAAGGAGGAAGCACACGAGATCTCATGATTTTGCTACACCGAATCTCCCTTCTAGTTCGTGCTTTTATCTGGCGCCTCGCCAAAACTATCTCAAAACACCGCATCTTTCGGTCGATATTTTCAATTTACTTCTTCAACCATAAAATACAAGGTTTTAGTAGTTTTATGTTTTAGTACACATCTTAAACTTTTCAATAACCAAGGAAATTTCTCATATCGTTAAGGTACTATTTTTAAAAATAATATTCAAATTTTATTTCATGTATTTAATTTTGAAGCTGTATTATACTGTTAGACGTAACAGTAAATTTAAACGCTCATCCATCATATGGATGTCAAGTTAATGCAGTAATATTGATTTTGTATTCAAGATTATTTCAGGAACATTTTCTATAAATTTATTCCTTTTTGAACTATCAATTACCTTTAATTATATTGTAATTTTTTATTGTTATATGAGATTTACACAATTTCTTAAATCCCATATAAACATTGTAATAAGATCAGTGCCGATGTTATAAGAAAATTTCTAGTTTTAGTTTTATTTCTAACGCTGAATAAGTTAAATTTATATTAATGAAATGTCAAAAAAAATGACACTTGAAAACGTGAGGTTAGGTTGAGAAAAATGTACAACATAACTTTTACAACGCGTTAATGCAATTGAAATTTACATCAAAACGAATTTTCTTACTGCTAAGATTAAAATTATTTCTTAAATTCCATAAATAAACACTACTAAATGAGTTATTAAAGACTTGATGTTGCCTTTTACGGTTAAACTTGTTATTTCGATTAATTCATTAAAAAAAATAATTGTACTTACTTTACCTTAAAAACTGAATTTTTAGCTTCATTTAATGCGAAAATTGTTTAAAATAATCGTGATAATTTTTATAAAACGTACTTTTGACGCAACAAATATTTTTTTTTTTGAAGATGTCCGTCACCCTATAAATCACCATGGTAACGGCAGGTTGAAAACTTTTAAACAAAAAATAATTTTAGTCATAATATTTTCCGGATAATACCAAAAATTAACTTAATTGCGTTTTTTAAATTATTAATTAGTAATTTTTTTAAAATTATATTGTAAATCTATCTTTTTATTGTATTAGTGTTATTTCTAACACTGAATGAATTAAATACAAATTTTTTAATAAAACGTCAAAATAAAATGTCACTTGAAAAAGTAAGGTTAGGTTGAAATCAACGTCAAAATGAATTTTGCACAGATGGGGTTCTACCAATTTAACTCCCCCAAAAATGAGCCCCATTGCTGTCACAGCAACCGACGGTAGAACACGGGGAGGACATTTTCGAACAGATCTGAGGGGGATAGTGATTAAATAGAAATATAATCAAGAGGTACGGTCCAGTTACATATTTACATATTATCAAGATCATTATTGTAAAATTGACATTGCTCAATTTAACGAAAAATGACCACCTCATCTCAAACGTTTTCGTATTAACAAGAATTCCCTTTGAAAATGAGAAGTTGTTCTAGACTTGGCGTACAAGATCTTTAATGACTAACAGCGAGGTAAGGAATGCGCAACGTATTTCAATGAAATAACCGCTTGTATTTGTAGCGAGAAATGAGGCGAGAAACGTCGCCGTCCGAATACATTTTTTAAAAGAAGACCTTGATTGGTTCGTTTAAATCCAAGTTGTGATTAAAAAAAGGAGATGTCACAGTTTATTTTTAAATAGGCATCGTTTTTTACGCCGTTTTTATTCCTCCCATTACCAGGTAAGTACTCGACTCGCTTTCTTACTCCTTTTGTTTGGATTCTGAGGAAGTTGAGGAGGCGTTGTTTCTTCTGGGGGATAATAGCAGGAAATAATAATAGCTGGAAAGGAGTGCAATGTTTGTTTTCTATTTTTAAATCATTTCTTTGGCTCTAATAACCTCTCTAATTAAAAAGTCCGTTTTTATGACAGAAACTTATCATATTTATATCAACTTTATGATATGGTTAATAAAAACTCGTTATTTCCGCGAAGTAGAAGTGGTTTTCCTTCTACGCATATTTCGCAATCAACATCCGAGCTGAAAACCGATAAAAATACATTCAGAGAATCTTGAAAATTCACCCAAAACGACTATAAAATATAATCATTATACAATATTCGTTAATAAATCATACAAATACTATCAAAAAACGTTTGCGCATAAAATAAATTCAAAGCCAAACCAACCTGCTATGACGGTGTCGTGTAAGTTGTACTTGGGGTCCGCCTGCGGAAACTCCTTTAACGTTCTGTTGCCCAATTTTAACTCGCCGCTTTGGTTTGCCTCCTCGAGGATCCTTTCCAGTGATCTAGTTAATTGATTCTGTAAGTGTCCTCCGTAATGAACCGTCGACACTGCCATATTGCATGGCGACACTACCTCACTGGCACTCACTCACTGAATGTGTTTGTTTTGATTGACCGGTAGACGATCCGGAGTAGATGGCGGCACTAACCGACACGAAGTTGGACGAGAATAACAAAAATTATATTTTTTTAATTTATTTCTTTTTATTTTTAATTAATATTGATTTCTATTTTTATGCTAGGATGCAATAAATAATTTCGTAGGAGTTTTTGACATAAACTAAAGTGATTTTTTAATTTATTTTTTTATATATTGAAATTGTGTCGAGTTGGTTGCCTATACAATAGACTATTTTAAATGTTTATTTATTTGTTATAATGTTTAAGTTAGACTTTAAAAAGTTTCTAAACAAACTTAAGGAAGCATTCAAACAAGGTTATAAATTTGAAAAATAAAAATGAGAACTCGAATTCCTGGTGAGTTGGTAGACGTCCTGAAATAGAAGTAATCTGAAACTAAAAGCAGAATTAATGTATGTACATGAATAAAAAGACATGCAATTATAATCTAAGAAAGCACGCAAACAAACCCTTAATTTAGATCGCGAAGATTTATCCTTAACGATCGTGATTTAGCCAAGGTCGCTTGTCAATGATAAATCACGGTCTTGTTATACACATTTTTCTAGCAATCGTTTATGGCATAGATTAAATAACAAACATTATTGATTAAATACAATGCCTTGTCTTTATTTTGTAGGTCATGCCATGAAATTATTCGTGATAAGTCATAAAATCATAGTCCATAAATTATACCAATACAGAAACCTGGAGATCGCAACGACCTGAATAATTACCGTTACCGTCCAATCTCTATCCTACCTCCAATTTCAAAAATTTTGGAAATTGTCCTGCACTGCTTAATGTATTACAAATGATCATAAGAGGTTTTGATGAACAAAAATATACTCAAATTGCCTTTTGTGATCTTAGCAAGGGATTTGATCTTGTAAATCATGACATTCTTACTAAGAAATAGAATAAATACGGAATAAGAGATAAGGCCCTTAACCTGCTAGTTTCATATCTTGATAAGCGACAACAACACACTCACTGGAAAGGTGAAATATCGGAATGGAAGAGTCGAAACAGGAGTTCCGCAAGGTTCGGTTCTTGGACCGATTCTTTTCTTGATCTACATAAATGATCTGCCGGATTTAATAGCATCGGATTCAGTCTGTCTTTATGCGGACGATACTTCCTTCATAACCGTGGAAAAGGATATTGACAAACTTCAGGAAAAAAACTAGTACAACGATGATTGAGGCAGAAAAGTGGTTCAACTCGAATGTTCAATTCCATCGACTGAATCACGAATTGTGTATTTCGCATACTTCCACAGCATGGCGGTGTATTGCATAGCAATATGGCGTACTTCCAGTGGCCTAAAAGAAGTTTTCAACCTATAAAAGAAAGCGATCAGAACGCTAGTAGGTCTAAAACCAAATCAGAGTTGTAGAGGTAGTTTTAAAACTCTAAAAATACCGACATTACCATCCTCATATATATTTACGTGCCTAGACTATATACACAAAAGCAGGGATTCACTAAGCACAGTTATAGAGTCTCGCCACTACTGCACCAGACAAGGAGATGGCATCAAACTTCCATGTCACAGAATAACAAAAATTTTTTAACTATATATTTATAAAGTTATATAATGAATTATCACCCCATTTCAAAGCATTGAATATGAAGAGTTTTAAGAGACAAGTCAAGAATATGCTCTTAGAAAAGGAATTCTACTCCATAGACCAATGATGACATTTTGATACATATTCAATAAAGTTATTATTATTATTATTATGGGATCTTCTCCAAGCAGAGATACTGCTTGGAGAAGAAGCCTTTCATTATGTTATTCTATTACAAAATTTAATTCTCTGCGATCTTTTAGTCTTCTGCAAGCAGTATCTAGTCTTTTACAAGCAGTATCTAGTCTTTTACAAGCAGTATCTAGTCTTTTGCAAACAGTATCTAGTCTTCTGCAAGCACTATCTAATCTTCTACAAGCGGTATCTTATCTTCTCCAAGTAGTATCTAGTCTTTTGTAAGCAGTATCTACTCTTCTGATTAGAAATATAAAATGTAAAAGAAATGTCCGAGTAGAATCAATGTAAAAGATAGTAAAAACTACAATTCATAATAAAAAATTCTATATTTTTACAAATAATGATAATTGTACTAAACAAAAAAAAATTACCTAAATAAACTTAAAAATTGTAATTTATGTACATAACCTAATTAATTAATTTTTCTTTTTCTTTGGCACTTTCTCTGGTGGTAATAATCCCATAGCTTTTTGATATTCATAAATCAACTTCTCCTGTAATTCAGGTAAACAAGGTGAATACCTAGAATATTCCATTGTGAACTCTCCTTTTCCTTGAGTGCTCGATCTTAATTCTCCAGCATATCCAAACATATCATTCAAAGGAACTTCCGCGTGAACCGTACACCAACCTTCAATACCCTCAGTGCCTGTTACAATTCCGTGGCGCTTATTTAACTGGGAAATAACCGTTCCTTGGAACTCGTCGGGTGCGGTAACTTCAACTTGCATAATGGGTTCTAAAATCTGCCAAAATCCCTTTTCAAAAACGTCTCTTATAGCGCCTTGAGATGCTAAGTAGAAGGCTAATTCGCTAGAATCGACTATGTGATGTGCACCATCGATTAATCTAAATTTTAAACCAGATAATTTATTTCCGGTTAATAAACCTTTATCAGCCATCGTTAAAAATCCTCTCTTTACACCTGGGATGTATTGTTTGGGTATATTTGTGCCAACAGTTTCATCGACGAATTCTAATAACGTATTTCTATTTGGTGGTAAAGGCTCAATAACTCCAATAATTCTTGCGAATTGTCCTTGACCACCCGATTGTTTTTTATGTAAATAATCAAATTCGCACGGTGACACCAAAGTTTCACGGAACGCAACCTTTGGTTTACCCATAACAACAGGACAGTTATACTCCCGTTCCATTCGTTGCGAATAAATTTCTAAATGAAGTTCCCCCATCCCGGAAACGATGGTTTCTTTGTTATCGGCATCGAAATGAAAATGAAACGTTGGATCTTCTTTCGTAAATCTAGCTATGGCTTTCGAGAAATTATCGCGATCTTTTGTATTCGCCGGAGCTATAGCCATCGAAACGACAGGTTCTGGGACATAAATCGATTCTAAAGATACTCGATCTTTGATGTCTGTTAAGAAAGTGTCTCCACTTGCGCAATCAACACCAAATAAAGCAAATATATCTCCCGCGAAAACTTCGTTTACATCTTCCATATTATTCGAGTGCATACGAACTAAACGTGCGATTCGTACTTTTCTACTCGTTCGAACATTATAAATATTATCGCCTTTTTTAAGAGTACCTTGATAACATCTCATATAAGTTAATTGACCGAATTTACCCGCTTCTAATTTAAAAGCTAACGCAACAAACGGTTTATCTGGATTTCTTGATGGATCTAAAACGATTTTTTCAGGTTCTTTCCCCTCAAGTTCAATCAAAGCCGTATTTTCAACTTCCCCAGGGTTGGGTAAATATTCAAGTACCGCATCTAAAAGTGGTTGAACCCCGCGATTTTTTAAAGCCGTTCCGACTAAAACCGGGGTGAATGTCCGTTTTAAACAAGTTCTTCGAATCGCTTCTTTAATATCGTTCTCATTAATTGTTTTTTCTTCCAAAAACATCTCTCCTAAATGATCATCAGCGTTTGATAAATGTTCGATTAATTCATGTCGACGATCGGAACATTCAGATCTCATTTCTTGTGGGATTTCATCGTATCGAAGAGTTTCGCCGCTATCTCCTTCGAAATAAATCGCTTTTTGTGCGATTAAATCAACAACACCTTTATTAGAACTTTCTAAACCAATTGGAAGTTGAATAAAAGCCGCGTTGTGATTTAATTTTGATCTCATTTGGGATAAAACTCTTTTTGGATTGGCCCCTAATCGATCTAATTTATTTATAAAAGCTAAACAAGGTACATTGTACCTTTTCATTTGTCGATTAACGGTTAATGATTGACTTTGAACTCCTCCGACTGCGCATAATACTAAAATCGCTCCATCGAGTACTCTTAAAGCTCGTTCTACTTCAACTGTAAAATCAACATGACCGGGAGTGTCGATAATATTAATATTATGTTCTTTCCAAATTGTGTAAGTAGCTGCACTTTGAATTGTGATACCCCTTTGACGTTCTAGCTCCATTGAGTCCATAACGGCACCAACGTTATCTTTTCCTTTAACTTCGTGCATCTCATTGATTCGACCGGTGTAAAATAATATTCTTTCTGTTAACGTTGTTTTCCCGGAATCTATATGTGCTGATATTCCTATGTTTCGGATTTTCTCGATTGCTTTGTGTTCGGCGTATTTTTCGTATGAGGACATACATCTTATATTTCTCTAAAATGCGGGCATTATGTTCATGTAATGGTTAAAAAAAGAAACAATAAACTTACCTCAATTAGAAATTTATTTAATTTTGATACGTTTGCGGTTTTAACGGTTGAAAGCAGCTTAAAAATCGTCATTTTATGGGGTATTTAATGTTGTAATAACCGGGCGATTTTTTGAGGTTAAAACGTTTGTCAAAGGCTAAAATCTAGGGAATTTATTTCAGAAATTAATTTAGGTTGGTATGATTCGTTATGCAATAAATTTATATTAATAAAAAGTATGTAATTAATTTTTTGTGATGATCTAAATTATTAGTAATAAAATTTAACTTAATAAATTATTATAAATCTATAATATTAACTAATTTCTTTTAAACCAATTTCTACTTGGCTTTTTTTTTGTGTAGATGACGCCACCATGAAAATATTTGGCACTTTCAAATTTGAAATTTATAATTTTTAAAAAATAAACAAATTTTCTTCTAACATTTTATTTATTGTACCTCATAGTATTAATATACAGTTTTAAAACTGATTTATCATCTAAAACACAGATCCTACAGATGAGGATGAAGTATTTTTGATACAACTTTAGTTGCAATGAATTATTCTAACAATAAGAAGCATATTTTTAATATTTGACCTGATTGGGGATTAAATACGATAGATAAGATTTATTTCATTGATTAATGAGCGAATTTTGTATGCTTATTTTAATTTTATGAATGAAGTATTTATGAAGGGAAATAAATATGTATTGATACGAAAGTTGTTAATTCTACGTTATTGGAGTAATTAATTAAATTAAATAGTTAGTTTTTCTGTTAATTACTATTCTTTTTCTGCATCAATACTGATTTATTTCGGTACAATTTTTCCAAGATTTTTTTGGTAATATTGAATGCAATATATTATAAAATTTCCAAAAATACACCGGATGGTTTTGGTTAAAACTTTCGCATTACTATTTTTTGTTCTCTAATATTTTTTTCAGGTCAGCCTTAATACATTGTGCTACATTATCGACCCTAAAATGTTTCCACATAGGTCAGATTAAAAAAAAAAACAGATCATCCACAGCCTTCATCCAATTTTGACCATCTTTTTATATCCTGCACTTTACACTCGCGTTTCTTCAGACTTGTCACTCTTTTTTTCACCGACGCTCCAATGACTTTTATCTTTGACTGAATTACGCTACAACAAAAATTCAAAATTAATCATTTCAGTTAATTTCTTTTTAAATAATATTTCCATGCTGATTACATTAAATTTGAGTTAAGATTAAGATTGAGTAAACTGGATTCTCTTAACAAAACAACATGACGTTTTAGTAGTTTGACATAATTAAAAAATTTCGAGTCAATAGAGATCGTTCAATTTAACTACGATGGCACGTGGTCAACAAAAGCTTCAATCGCAAGCTAAAGCGGCCGAGAAAGCCGCAAAGGCGAAAAAGCACCAAAGCCATTCGGCAAACGACCAACGTAAAGCCGCTCAAAAAGCGTTGCAACACGTGTGCTCGATCTGCAAAACTCAAATGCCCGACGCCAAGACTTATAAACTTCATTTCGTAAGCAAACATCCGAAAAATAAAGTTCCAACCGAATTAGAAGGTATTCCTGTTTGAGTACAAGTATCAGATTTATATCCAATTTTTTTTTTAACTTATTCGATTAGTAAAGATTATCGTTGTGTATAAGTTGGATTAATAAAGTTCTTGTATTAATAAAAATGTAATATAAAAATTTAATTTTATAAAAGTATGATTATTAAGAGCAATAACCAATATTCATTACAGAATTTGCTTCAATTTATGTGAAGATGTCTGCAATGAATTAGAATATGTTGGAAGTGATATCTATTTTTACATACTCCTATTTATTTGATGCGCCAGCTATCAACTGAGTTCTAGTTTTTTTCCATTCCCAAAATACATAGCTTTGCATTTACTTCAGTCATTTGAGCACAGTCACATTTTCAAAATATTACAGTTCATTATTCGATTTTCCAAATATAGTGTGTCCGTTAAGTCATGGTACACTTTTAAGCGGTTACAGGACAGCAACAAAGCAAGATTTAAATGTGAATTCTTCACCAAATAAAAGAAAAACTCTCCTAGTTTAATTTGTGTCTATTCGTGTTTCGTTAACATTTTATGAATTATACTCTTGCTTAGGTGTAATTGCCCAGCACACGCACGCACTTATATTTTAGGATTCCTTACGTGTGATGACTTGCCAATAGCCTATCAGAACAGGGTTTGCCCAATAAACTGCCGGTATCTTTCAACTGCTTATTCCACCGATTAATGTGATTCCTATGTGGTGTTGCCGTCCACATCTCGACTGGCGTGGTTTGATACATTGTCTTGGACCATCTCAACGAACCTCAAACAACAACGAAAAAATCTCCCCATAATCATCAAATGCTTCCTGTTACAGATTGAGTTGTGCATCAACACAAATTGGTAAATTCAGAAGGTAGCAGAATGTTTTGTAAACTATCCAGAAAGACCAATTTGGAGATGAGATAAGAATAGAAGGATATAAACCATTTCACGTTGGATGCTTCCAAATTAGGATTTCGTTTGCAGATATCACATACTCATTGTTTACCAAATGGATTTACTTAACCGTGTTCTTAATACGGATTAAACTGGGATAGATTTTTGTGTTGTGTAGGTTGCAAGCCTCGAGAGCATAACTTAATTTCAAGACACTTAAGCTAATTAATCAAGGAGAACTGATTGATTTGGATTGTGATTTAAAACAAATTAAAATTGAGATATGGTTGAAACTGCAATACTGGAACATAACCCAAAGGATATTTATAATGTTTTCAGCAAAACTGCTGACTTCATCAGGGTCTTTGACTGATAGAGTAAACATAAAAGAATCTTTGACTTTACAGTTAGGAATCAAATTTGAAAACCATGAATAGCAACTTTAGTGTAATTTAAAAGTTGTTGCACTCTTTGTAATTTTTGTTCGTTATAGAACATTTTCAAAAAGGATCTTGTTGGGTTGGGTTCGCTCCAATATTTAAAGGGGGAAACTGTCGACGTAGAAATCTGCATAAGCTTACACTTAGGAGTAAATTTTCGAGAACTTTGCAATCTGTTTTCTCAAGTTTCCAAATATAGTAAGTTAAAGCCATCTTCATATCTACAACTTCTTCAAATCAATGTAATGTTAAAAGTTATTTATTAAACTTAATACACTTTTTGTATCATAAATATATTTTTAAAATGAATATAATTTTTGGTGGAGGAGCCGGAAATTTGAATGAAATTTTTAATCCATTAATTAACGATAGTTTAAATTTACAAAACACTTCCAATTGGGACATAGGTAAATGTGGCACCAACTCCTACATTAATTATAATATCACGTGGATGTTTGAAACTAAACTAATTAAACTTAGTTTCTAACGTTCATTAGTAATAACAACAACGGTAATTGGTAATTTCTCGGCTCTTAGTGCTTTTTAAAAGAGATTGTTTTAAAAAATTTATTTAACAATAGATCATGCGGAACATGCTTTATTTTAATAATAGTAGATACCGTTATCCTGTACATTTGCTAGCTGAAATCATTCGTTTTTATTTCCAATAGTCAAGATTAGCAATGAAATATAAAAAATCATGCAATAAAGGATAATCGAAATATATAGACAATACACCGTGTTGGTTTTAATTAAAATTACTTACACTTAATCTAATGTTATTGTTAGTATATTTGTGCGTTAAGGTGGTGTGTACACAGAAAGATTTTAAATGTGTTGAGTCATATCGGTCACCTTTATCGTAATCCCCTCCTCTTCATCCTCTTCCGCCATCGTTGACAGTCGTTTCTCCAACTTCCTCTCGTCGCGTTTCTCCTCCTTTTTCGAGTGTTTCTTCTTTCTGAACCTGATTTCGAAGGTAACAAAAACCAAATTTCATTTAATATTAATAGATCACAATTTCGACATCAATACATCAATCTAACATTTTTTGCCGGGATTTTTCGTGCTAATTTACCTTGAAACGGACGCACCTCGTTTCTTGTCGGTTTTATTGCAGCTATTGACTTGCTTCCAGATCCCGGTCTTATTAACCTCTTCAGATATGTTTATCGCCGACAGCGGGATGTTCATCACGTTCCCATTCGCCAACGATATCTTCAAATTGCCCGCATTCTCCAGGTGAATCGGTTTATCCTGCTATAAGTGTCGACGATGTCAAGATGTCGAGAATTTTTTTTTGCTATTTGCTTGTAGAAATAAAAAGAACTAACCAAAAAAGAAAAACTACATACTTACGTAGATTTTAAAAGAAAATCTTTGTTTTTGATTGTTGAGTTTGTGTCTTTGTGTTGTGGTTGAGTGCGTTAATTTTTTTTTAATTTGGATTAGTACAGAAATAAACTACAACTACTAAATGAATTAAATAATTATGAGGTAATTAGAATATGTTGTGGAAGGTTTTAGTTAAAGTGTATTAGGTAGAAAAAACTAAAAAAAAAAGAAAATTATGGTTGGATGGTTTATTGATAAAAATACTGTTATAACAATAACGTAAAAGAAACAAAGTAACTAAAAAAAATTGTTAAAATAAAACTATTAATGCGGTAAAGCTTCGATTAGTGTATTGTCTATAAATACATGATGAAAAATATATTTTCTTAATATCACTATTATGAGATGTGAGTAGATTGAGCATTATAATTGGAGTTGCGATTTTTAAACTTTAATTTCACTCGAGTTTTTTTTTTCAGTCATACCGTTTTATAATTTCATTTTCTTTAACGATGTTTAATTATTCCCGTGGAGCTTTATTTAACTTAAAAGTTTCAACAAACGGGATATGAATTATTCCTTTTTTATTTACTCCACAATTTCTTTTTTCATTTTAAAGTAAATAATTCATGTTTTAAAATTCATATCTATATTTAATGTTATTCATTTTCCTTATTTATTATTGACTTTGCTAAGTTGGAATGGTATCTTTTTAAAAGCGTCAAATTAATGTAATTCAAGAATGAAATCAAATAATAATAATAATAGAATTGACTAGGGGTTTTAAGGGATTAAAAAAATTCGCTATAAAATCACCTATAACAATCAATCAATCAATCAACAAGAAGAAGCGAATGCTAAAAATCAAAATGATAAGTAGTGTTGTGTCCTAAGAGTTTCAATGAGGTTTATTTTTTAATTGTTTCTATATCTTTTGGTGATTTAATGGGTGGGGTTCCTAAACAACATGCAACAAACTTTCGCCAGCATCCCACCTCAGATCCTTCGATCATATCCTGTTGATGTCTCTTAGTCATCTCCGGCATGATATCGTCCAAAATCTTCAATTCCCTCCGGGCGAAGAAAAAGTCCAACGATTTTCTAATACCAATCATCACCACCAACATCAACGGGAAAAGGATTGAAGTTGTACTGAACGATTTAATCACCCATAAACACACCAAACAAGCCAATTGAATTAAAGTAAAAATATGTACACGTCTTATTGGAACCTAAATAAACCAAATTAATAATCATTTATAATCATAAATTAAAAGAGAATTAATTTTACCTGTCTCAGGAACATATAATCAGGTTGATACTTATTCGGCATAAACATAATAAGAATCCTATCAAAAAATTGTAATCCTTTCAAAGAAGCGACTCCCATATAAAGAAAAACGCCGTATAACACCGGCATAGGAATATGACTCAACATTGGTGTTAAAAACACCGATAATCCGATAGTTAAAAAGATAAAAATATGGGTCACCCTTTGCTCCCTCACCCCTAAAAATTGGGGTTTCTCCCCAGGAGCTGCACACTCAGACTCCACTTTCAAAGAATTAACGTGATTTATCGATAACACCGTAGCCGCTACGAACCAGGGCAACCCCATTAATGTGCAAATTTGTATCAAAATTGCTAGCACGAATAAATCGAGATGATAACCTCCACCTTTCTTCAATTTATTCTCTTTTCTATTAATAATAACGGTTGTGATTTGTTGGTCCATGAATATAAGGATGGTACCAAGCAAAGCTGGAAGTAATGCTAGTATAAACGTGTATATCGGATTTTTAAAAGGATCTATAATCCAGGTTCTATCAGGAGATGTTGGTTTGAATTCTTGCGGCACTTCTAATTTTGGAGTATTTATTCCTACTTTAAAATCCAACATAGTCATCGATAAAATTGCTATGATTACGGCAAAATCGCTCACGTATTGACGAACCTATAAAAATAATGGTTTATTATAAAAAAAATTATTGTAAAAAAAAATATACCGTTGATGGAAAGAATAAGGAATTTTTGAAATCTTTTAAAATAACCGAAATTGTAAATGTCCCCAAAAAGAGTAAGATGGACATAAGAAAGACATCTGGAACGAATTCGGTACATCCATCTCCGAGTAACGTACCATTTAATTGCTGTAATTTTAATTTAAATATGAAATTCGTTATATACAATATTACTGTATAAATAAAATTGAAGTATTTTTGCTTACCAAACAACTCGTCTTATCTAAGGTGGTAGACTCATCAACGGTCGTTAGAGAAGTTATCGTTCCATTTAACGAGCACGAGCAGTTATAGGAGATGTTAGTAAGACCGGGATTGATTGGAAATGATTTTCCAATAATTGCAACGTTTTCCACTGCCTAAGAAAATTATTTGGGGTAAATATTTCATAAAATGCAAGATTCGTATAAAGAAGAAATTTGTTAAATTATTTTTTTGTATTTCTTATTAAAATGTTGGTCAAGATTTTCCGATTTAGCATTTCAAATTAATTCCCGTGTAATAGGCGGCCTGCAGAAATTCGATTAAGGTCGACATGAATTTCACTTCAGCACTAGCTTTAGCCGGAGTTCTAAGGTAGGCCGAAGTTTCCGCTACGATTTGCGTAGGATACATTTGCAATGAAAATTTTCAAACTTAACACTTGGCTCGGTGACTTTACAACTTGTAAATAGGATCTGGATTATTATAGAAACTTTGTTAAAGCAAATACCCGTTAATATTTTGCGACTTGTTCGATGAAACTTAATCTAAATTAACTTCCAAATTATCAACATTACAAAAAATTTTCAATGCGGTATTTCCGAGCTTTGCGGATATTGATTGTTGGACGCCGGTAAAGAGGAGAAATACGTCCCGATGAGATAATCACGTACCGTTTCAATTTAATCCCCCCAGTCAATTTTGCGTACTCCCACAATTCTAGTGTTCCAATACATTAATTAAATAAATTAAACTTACCTTATAAATAAAAATGAACGCAATGAGAGTTGCAAAATTTTCCTCCGTAAATCTTGTAATGTAACAAACAAGAGCACTTGCATCAATGGCAACGAGTATTAATAAAATAACAGCGATCCAAGTTCCAATCCAAAATCGAAAAGACATATAATCCCAGCTGACTCGTTGACAAAATTCAAAAACGATTGTTTCAAACACAAGAACAGGCCCGGTTGAACCTAAAATCGTGAGGGGTTGTCCCGAAAAAAATCCGTAACCAACTCCACACACAAATCCAGAAACCAATGATTCCATAGCTGCCATATTTCTTCCGGTGGCTTGAGAAAGTAATCCTCCAAAAGTGATTATAGGAGACAAACAAGCAAAATACAAGAAAATCCACGAAGCGATGCATTGCATGGACACGGCGTCTTTAATATCGGACCAATACCAAGGAGCTTTTCTTTTAATATCGTTTATTAACCCACCAAATAGTCTTCCAGTTCGAGATAACCCGGATTCTTCGCGCAACTTTTGTTCTTCCTCTTCCTCATCAATTTCATCGGTTGGTTTTTCCGCTGTCGGTCGTTTTCGTGAATCTTGAGGAGGAACCGCAGCTGGAGGTTCAATTCTAATCGACGGATCCCATTCACCTGGCGGTAAAACCGTCACGGCATCTAAAAACTCATCAATCCCGGCTAAAATATGATCCCTATTTTTAGCTCGATAAGCCACCTCATGAAAAACTTCATCAGACATTAACGTCGCCATAGCCCTTCCAATTTCGTGAAAACCTGAATTTGTGTTGGCAGGTCCAAGTAATAAGAACAGGAATCTCGTTGGTACCGGAACCTCGGTTAAATCTCCCATTATAGAGGCTTTACTCAAACGGATAAACGCTGATATTGTTTTATCCAAAAAATCAACTTCTCCAACTAAAATGTTAGAAGCTTCAGATCCGTGAGGAATTTTTCGCATAAATTGTAAGTTGTGCTGTGGGATATCTCCGTTACTTAAATCGGTGGTACTGTGATGGTGTCGAGACATTGATATGGAACTTGCACTTTTTTTCATACCATCGTGTTTGTCCGATCCTGAAAATTATTTAATATATTGTAAGTTTTATTTTTTTATTTAAAGATTGTCCCAGTAATACGAATAAATTAAATACATTTTAGAACCACAGTAAAACCTTTATATAACGGATTAATGAGGAAGAGAGTGTCCGTTATAGCCAATATGAATAATTTTACTGCACACAAAGTCGGACAACTATCCATATCGTTGCGTTTTATCTACGTGGCTTAATACTTATACCAGAAAAGGTAGAATCTGGTGTATAGCTCGAAGATCCGTTCGTGACGTCAGCGCTGAATAACAATTAAATCTAGAACTAACACTAGACCTAGAACTAGAAACATTCGGGTTTAGCCACAAGTCTCTCAAGACGGCTAAACTTGAATGATTCTAGTTCTAGGTCTTGTGTTAGTTCTAGTGATAGTGTTAGTGTAAAACTAGAACTAACACTAGACCTAGAATTAGAAACATTCGAGTTTAGCCGCAAATCTCTCAAGACGGCTAAACCCGAATGATTCTAGTTCTAGGTTTTGAGTTAGATCTAGTGATAGTGCCAGTGTAAAACTAGAACTAACACTAGACCGAGAACTAGAAACATTCGGATTTAGCCACAAGTCTCTCAAGACGGCTAAACCCGAATGATTCTAGTTCTAGGTCTTGTGTTAGTTCTAGTGATAGTGTTAGTGTAAAACTAGAACTAACACTAGACCTAGAATTAGAAACATTCGAGTTTAGCCGCAAGTCTCTCAAGACGACTAAACCCGAATGATTCTAGTTCTAGGTTTTGTGTTAGATTTAGTGATAGTGCTAGTGTAAAACTAGAACTAATACTAGACCGAGAACTAGAAACATTTGGATTTAGCCGCACGTCTCCCAAGACGGCTAAACCCGAATGATTCTAGTTCTAGGTCTTGTGTTAGTTCTAGTGATAGTGCTAATGTAAAACTAGAACTAACACTAGACTAAGAACTAGCAACATTCGGATTTAGCCGCACGTCTCTCAGTTCGGCTAAACCCGAACGATTCTAGTTCTAGATCTTGTCTTAGTTCTAGTGATAGTACCAGTGTAAAACTAGAACTAACACTAGACCTAGAACTAGAAAGTTTCGCACGGCTAAACCCGAATGTTTCTAGTTCTAGGTCTAGTGTTAGTTCTAGTTTTAGTTCAATGAAAAATATACAACAATCTAATGCTGAACAACAACTGAAACTGTAAATTAACACTAGCATTAGAACTAACACTAGACCTAGAACTAGAAACATTCGGGTTTAACGTCTTAAGAGACGTACGATTAAACCCGAATGTTTCTAGTTCTACGTCTTCAGTATTAATTCTAGTTTTAGTTTTTGTCCGTTTTAGCTTGGTTCGTTATATCGAGGTTTTACTGTAACTTAATTAATGGAACAACCTTTATAACAAATTAGTAAACGTGGCATAAACTTCAAGGACCTCAATTAACGTTTTAGATAATATGTTAAAAGCGTAGTTCTGCATCGATCACCTTGCCACGGTCTAAAAATAACATCAAGTCTTAAGACTCGCTTGCCCCATAAACCCCTCCGTGCCCATTCATACGGAAGGAGCTCAAGTTCATGCCGCATTTAACACAGGAGCATGTCATAGCCTTGCAAATTCTTGGAAATTAAACACAAACAAGAAGAAAAAAAAACACAAAAAGTAAGGGGGAAACGAATCAAACAAAAAAAAAATAAAAACAAGAAATCGAGGTTGCATAATATTACCTTGTCCTGGAATGGACAAGAATTTTCCATATTCCGGTGATTTTCCGACACTTTCACCGAAAGACGATTCTTCCACTGCAAAAGATAATAAGAGCGACTTTGATTGTTAAATGGAGTGAATTAAAGAGATTTTGTTCAGAAAAGGTGCTTTTTTTAATTAAAGTAAGTAAGTGAGGTGATCTTAAAGGACTTGAATGTATCCAAGTCTTCGTTTTCATTCATTTTCAATAAGATAACCTCAATAAATTAAACTGTATATACATAGACATCAATCACTGTAAAGCAAAGAAAACAAATTTTCACAATTTTCATAGACAAATGCACTTTAGCTTTCACGGATTAGCCTTTAATCAAAATTTCCCAAGACAACAACGCTATTTTCACGTCTCAAATGGATAAATTAAAGGAGGGAAATAAATTTTAAATCTTACACAAAAGATGGTATACTGGATTGAGGTTACCCTAGAGGATTGTGAATAAATCTCTCCGTTTTACCTAAAAATATTCTTCGCTATGTTGCGTTATGAATCGGTAATGGTCTGGAAGTAATCCGGTTGAAAGACGCGTATAAAATTAAAAAAATAGGTGCCATAGCAGAGGGAACATTGTGACACACATAAATATAATAAGATAGATATCAGAGATGCTACAAAATATATTGAATAATGTGATTATATGATTATCTGACCTTTTCCGGGATGACTAACTGCTAACCATGTCGTAAATCCCATAACGTGAGTGGAATACTCGGCTGTTTAGAAAACAAAGTTTTTCAGAGAAATAATCTCATTAAAATGTAATATAGTATTTAAATTTCAATTGAAACAAGACACAAATTCACGTTAATCTCGAATTCCATTGGTCAGTTAAACCCAATTTATGTTGTGCACATTTGGCGTTGAACATAAACAGCTGTTACAAGATTAATACGATCTTAGTAAAATTTGAGGAAAAGAACGATCTTTAAACCTAAATTAATCCTATAATTTATTTTTACAGGTTTCACGTGTTCACTTTAATGTTATATTATTATAATATTCAACGTAGTTTTACACCCTATAAGGTACAAACTTGATTCTCTTAGTTGATATTAAATTACTAATGGTTCTCCAGAAACAGTATAAATTACATTGTAGTTTCTATGTAATTTAAGTAATCTTCATCAAAAATTGATTTTACCTGGGAAATTCTAAATGCAAATAACATGCAAATTGGTTTACATTCAAATATCCGCTTCCATTACACACTTATAAACGTACTATTGTTCGTGTTATGGTACGTACAGGTACTATAAAGGCAGAAATAAACAAGCAATTTCGCATTACGATCACAAACGATTTTGTTTAAGTTTTTAGTGTATTTATGACATGCTATACTTCTTGATGGTGTTACGAAAACGTGACAAAGTAGGATGAGAAAATCGTGTTTCTTGGTAGGTGGCAAAAGTTATCAAAAAGTTACCATCAACGTTAACGAAGCTTTCTATCCGGTAATTTATGAACTTTACGGTTAGCTTTACTGAAAATATGACGTGCTTAACTTACAAAGGGAGTGTTTCAAAGGATTAATATAATTGCATATTTAGAGTACGTTTTAAAGCTTTAAATTTTTATTCTTAATAAGTTCTATTCGATACACTTTATTGAGAAAATTTTGATTTGGAACTTAAAAAATCACTCAAATTGTGAGTAATCTTGTCACACTTACAAGGGAAGTATCGGAACTGTCCCTCACCGATTTTGTTGAAATTTGGTACAGCGATAGTATGGCCAAAAATAAGGTTTACGTATTTTTTAACCACCCCAAATAAATTTTTTTTTGCGAAAATTGTTTGTCCATTTTGGAGCAATTTACCACGCTGATTTTTTTATACGTTAGTACGTAGCTAGGATAATTATATAAATATTTATTAATAGTGAGTTAAAAAGCAACTGAAAAAAATGGTTAAATATCACCGAGGGTAATAAATACAATGTTCAAAGCAGATAACATATTCGTTTTGGCATCAAAGTCTGGTAAACTGACTTCTGCTCATATGAAAAATTTGCAACAAAATGTCTATTTCCCAAACACCGGACCCAAATTATTACTATTACTGGATTCTTGGAGTGGCCACTGCCCTGAAATTATTAGTAAAGTAACTGTTAAGTTTAAATATTTGTCTATACCTGCAGGAACAACAGGTCAAATTCAACCCCTGGATGTATTTGGTTTTAGAATATGGAATAATTTCATTAGAAGATTTTCTGATCAAATTATTCTCTATCAGTACGATGTCAATTTGCATCAGCGAGATAATATTTTAAAATTGCAATCCCTAACGCATAACCAGTTGTCTTCCCCACGATTTATTAATGTTTTTAAATACGCGTGGCTTGCGTCTGGATATATAGAGGAGAGACCAGAACAGTTGAAAATCTCGTGGAGGTTTGTTTTTCTAAGAACCACATTTATTCAGCTATTTTTTCTTTAATTTTTGTAACTACCTGTGTTTTCAAATAAAATTACTTACACGGTTACTCTGAGACACCTGTATATCAAACGAACGCATAATAATACAACAAAGATATAATTTATAAATGTTGTACCGAACTTTTCACATTCCCTGTATTGCAAATATATCTATTTTAATATAAAATGAAGTTATAAATGTTATTTTCGTTTCAAAATGATATAAATGTTTTATTGTTGTGAACCAAAATANAACCCTATATTTTTGTAATCAGAAAAAAATAACGAATTTATTAAGCGAATAATCAGTGGTTGTTTCCATTTAAAAAAACGAAAATTGTGATAATATCTCAAAATCTAAAACCGACAAAATTTTTTTGACTACGTCATCAAATTCTCCGTAAAAAAGTGTCCATATAATGTCTTAGTTATAATACTCCACCTATAATAATAACCAAGATAATTACATTTGCGGGTTTTACGATATTTTTAATTTTGGCCTCTAGCGGAAAAACAAAGACGATGACATGTCGAGATCATGACATGTCAGCTACTTTTCTTCTAACTCTTATAGTTTTCGAGTTAGCCTATTCGGACATCGAATTTGAACCACCCTGTACAATTTATTTAGACAATCTTATGTAATTTGCACGAAATTTAGATTAATTGTTTAATAATATCTTTTGCCACAAACCTCAACTACAACATATGCTATGATGATTTAAGCTGTGATCGTAGATTAAACAAGAAACAACATCACGACGTTTATTTACAGCCAGATAGGACAAATAGTACATTGCCCTAATTAGTAAACTGTACAAATTGCGGTACCGCTCCCAGGACAAATCAACCAACGTTGTAGGATCCTCGCGGGATTTCGGACAAACACAAGCCTTCGATTTCACGTAGCGTAGAGAACAATTGTTCTATCTAACCTGGAATGGCCACATAAGAACCGTTTCGTTTTTGATTCGGCGATATCGTCTCCACCGTTTCCAACTCCACCATTGAGATCCTTCTACTATCCTGGTCGTTTACGCAAGCAAATAATACTGAGTTTTCTGTAAGTGGTTAGTTTCTTAACAAAATATTATGTTATTATTTAAAAAACTTCACATTTATCCACCATATCGTAATCGTATATCGAAAAAAAATACGATAAATTTAAATTAAAAAACTTACTTTTTGACGTAGAATAATTTCTTCCTATTTCAGCAAAAGATCTAATAATTGGTAAAACTGGTTTCTTCGTTTGATGTTGGTGTCGATGTCTTCTCAAAAGAGCTTCCCGGACTTTATCTTTTTTATCTAAAGCTAAAGTATTTGCGTTCACCATATTTTCTAAAACCATATCGGCAATTTGATCCACCGAAGTAGCCTCCATATCCAAAAATAACGTCCCATTGAGGAGGAGACTCCTCAATTCGAAGAGGGAGTGCAAAGAAAGCGTGGCGACGTGCGGTTTCGACCATCGATTACCACCTTCTTCGACGTCTTCCTCGAATTTAATCCACCTAGCTGTTTCTTTCCATTCCATATCTTCACCTTCACCCACCAACTCCTCCATTTCTGAGAAAATCGGGTGGGTCTCGTGGGAAGATTCGTCGGCGTCTTCGCCGAGGATGAATTGGACTCTTTGAGCCGGTGGAGTGACTACAAAAAAAAATCAACTTAAAATAAAAGTTTTTTAATTAATTTTTTTTAGATAAAACTTTTTAAACAAACAATCTTTGAAAAGGGCTGTAGATCCAATCGATATCAGTTTTGTTAAATGTTAGCGAAGGGAGAATTGATGTTTCAATACGCTCGATAAAGCGTGTTTTAGTGGAGACAAAAATAGCCACAACACACTGAAGCTTCATCGCCAGCATGAAAAATTAAAAAAAAAGAAAGGTGAGAAAAGGGAAATTGACGTGGTGGTAATGTAAAAAGTTAGTGACGTTAAAAGCGTTTTTAATGTCTCTGAAAAATTAATATCAATATCAATCAAAAAAAAAAAAAACAGAAAACCTAGTCTTACATATTTCCCCTTCTTCTGATATGCTGAATTGTCTACGTATACCAAGAAGTTCTGAAAAGTAGCGTTTTATCTTAGATTCGAAGCAATGAAAATGTAGAGTTAGAAAATTCCTTCGTTAGAAGTTGTATGTTTGTTATTCAGTACGATGAATGAAATGAGAGAATGAAAACTTTAAATCTTGAAGACCTTAAGAAGGTACTGCTCATATGTGTGAGGTTGAAGGACATTAAATAATTGAGGTATATGAAGATATCTTTTAGGATATCTCTTAATAAAAGAATTACTTACAAAGCAAAACAAAAAGAATGAAGGAATGCTTGGAGGCAGTAAACAGCAAATAGAAGGAAAGATAAAAGTAGCAAAGAATACCACAATGAAGGCCAAGACCATGTATGCGATCATGTAAGGATCCCTAATTAGACCCAACCCAACTTTTTAATTAAAATTAATGCAACACTAATAAAACGTAGACAACCCACCGCAACTATTTAGCATTGCACAAATGCACACTGTAAACTGATTCTCCTGAGAATACAAGGTTACATGGGAACTGTAGTGGACAGAATAATGTAGCCATGAGTACTCTGCCATTAGATTTAAAGGCAATGGATAAAGTTGAGATAAAATTGATTGGCTTTGACATAATAACATTTGCATTTTAAAACATGTAAAGAATCCATTTATTAAAAATGATGTGAAATTAGCCCAACTTATTAATAATAATTTGTACTTTTAGCACATGTAGTTATTGAGTTATACAGGATGTCCCGTTAAGCGTACGGAGCGGTTGTATCTCAACAACGGTAAGGCCTAGAGGTTTGGGAAAAAAATCTTTATAAGCAAAGTGGGCAAGAGAAATAGCTGGAAATTATTTTGAAGTTCGTAATTCGACCGCTAGGGGGCGTAACTGCCATAGAGAAACATAAAATTCCCGCTATCTCAGAAAGTTAGACGATGAGCTATAACTTTGACAACATCATTTAGTAGCTTGGATAATACCGCATCGCTTTTGTTTTGCAATATTTTTCATATCTGCAATAATAAGGGAGGGGGAGGCCAATGCGTTTTCAAATGTTTACATTTTAATATCTCCTGGACCATTCAACCGATTTGAATATTTTTGGTCTTGTTTGAAAGAGCATTTCATGCTCTTTTAAAAGATATTTTCAGTAAGACCGCTTGGTTTAAAACAAATAAGCTAGAGGGCGTTATCTGCAGCGGTTACATATTTTTGTGATTTTTGAAAAAAAGTTAAATGGAACGGTACTATTTACTTCACAGACCGTTAATCACCATAAAATTTGCTAAATATTAGTGAAAACCGCATCTCGATATCTCCATCCATTCTCGAATTATAAAAGAAAATGTTAAAAATTCGTATATCTTAATCGGATCAAGTTACCTTAGGAAACAAATAAGAGATAACAAAAATTTTATTATCTAGAACCTTCCTTCACACTTTATCCAAGCTTAGAACTGCTTCAAAACTACTTTTGAGGCGTGTTGAAAAGCCAACGGATCAATGAAACATCAACAATGATAATAAAACAAAATAAACCGAAACACTTAGAATAACTTAAATTTTTGGCAAAAATAGCTCACTAATGTTCGAAATGTCTTACATAAACCTCGATGCATTTATTTAATCTAGTTTCGACGAAAAAAAAGCGCTGCTAAGTCTCTTCCCTGGACACGTTTTTACTGGTATTTAGTGTTTTGTCATATTTTCCCTGGTTATTGGTTTTTCTTGAAAAGTCAGGTCGTTTAGTCTACCCAATAGATAAAGGGGTGAAAGCAATGTGGGTTTTGCTCGAACCAAGAATGCATATTATGCAAGTTTACATCAGCTTGTGGACAGATGCTTCATGCATCCATAGCATTTGTGATAAAAGGTTTGGATTTGCCCAAATCATATTTAAAAGTCAATGGTAATAGTTCAGTCTGTTATCATAATCGGTATCTGTTAAGGCCTGATGTAAAACAACGTGGTGGAGATATTATTCTCTTGAGAACTCTTGTGGACAATTGTTTTCGGAGTTCCCAGATTATGTGGGATCACATTGCGCACCAATGTGATTTACGAATTCATAGAGATGTCTGAATGGGCTACACGTTGCCAGTTTTCCGTAATCGCTAAGTCAATCTTAAAAACACTTCTAGAGAAAAATGTCTTTCTTTGTCGTAATTGCATTGCACATTTTTGCCATGCAGTTGCATCGTATTCGAAACATTGAAAATAAATCATCATACGCTCTATCATACGCTTCTGCGTTAGTAAATGACATGTTTACAGTTACCATGGTAATGTGATTTGTTTTTCTCGATGAGGTAACTGGATCCGATTGATGGCACTCGAGTTTTTAACATTTTCTATAACTCGAGAACGGGTGGCGATATCGAGATGCGGTTTTCACTAATATGCATGAAATGCTCTTTCAAACAAAACCAAAAATATTCAAATCGGTGGAATGGTCCAGGAGATATTAAAATGTAAACATTTGAAAACGCATTGGCCTCCCCCTCCCTTATTATGACAGATATGAGAAATATCGCAAAACAAAAGCGATGCGGTATTATCCAAGCTATTAAATGATGGTGTCAAAGTTATAGCTCATCGTCTAAGTTTCTGAGATAGCGGCAACTTTATGTTTCTCAATGGCAGTTACACCGCCTAGCGGTCGAATTACGAACTTCAAAATAATTTCCAGCTATTTCTCTTGGTCACTTTGCTTATAAGGATTTTTTTCCCAAACCTCTTGGCCTTACCGTTCTAGAGATACAGCCGCTCCGTACGCTTAACGGGACACCTGTATATATTTTAATTTAACGGAAATTGTTTTTATAGATTAATTTTCTTTGACATTTTATGATACCAAACTTAATTTAATATACTTTGACGATTTCATTAATCGAAAATGTCAAAAGTTAATTTATTCCATAAACTCCCATAAATATTGATTTATTATCTGATAATAACTCTGTAATTTGATGAATTTATTTTTTAATTTTCATTTTGATCGGTTCATAAAATGTAAATGAAACCTTATAAGCCGATTAGTTTTAACGATGCCGATTAACCGGTGGGTGCAAATTCTAAAAAATTGTTCATTAACACGTTTACGTCAAAGTAGATTTGATTTCAATATTAATTGTGTTATAACAAACATAAATCTGTCTCATGTTTGTTTGTTGTTTGTGTTTTAGTACATCGAAATGTTTCATCAATGCTACTTCATTAACTGTATTGAAATGTTAAAATTGATATGAAAATCAATCGGCGAAATGGCGTGGTTATTTTAAAATAACGCGGAGAGGGTGGTATTTGTTTTCCCAAGTGGAAAGAAATCAATAAATGAAGCTGAACTTCACTTCGTTCAGTTTTAAACAATTCGATAAAGAGGAGGAAGTGGAATTTAAAGTTCTGGACGTGAAAGTTTAAGAAAATTTATGGTTTTAATTCTTACTTGGTCGTTCATCATCAGTCCCATCATGAACAGAAGAGCTTCTGTGGTGATGTTTGTGCGAATGTCTTCTATGGGAATGCCTCCGTTCCCCTGGCACATGGACTCCGACAAAGACTGAATGAGCTCTATGTCCTGAAACAAGATAAGAATATCTTTGTAACTTTTTCATCAATTTATGATATTTTCGCTGTGAACTAGGATATACATTTTATACAGTATTTGAACACTAAAAGGATTTTCTCTAGGAAGCGTAAAAGTCACACACCAACGATATATTCTCATTTTCACGTCCGGGTGATTTTTGTTGGGGAATTATAGAACACCAGAGGTTTTCATCAGAGTGTTTCCACGTGGGGGAGACTAAGAAAATCGTTCCTAAGCAGTTTTACTAGTCTGTAAGTTTCGGCGCTGCCACTGAACCCTTAATGGGAGCTTTGCGTCCAAATCGATAGGTCGACGTTCCCAGTTCGTGGAAAATGGAACGGCAGGGGTTCGTCCCAAATTGATACTAAAACTTTTCTCTTTCAGGTGATAACACCAACAAGGTTTTTTTGTTTCACTTCAAGAAATTTTTTCGCTCCCCCAAATTCGAAATAAATTCCAATTTTGTGTTTATATTTTATGTATACAATGGAATAAGAAGTCATATTTATAAATTTATGATGTTTGGGTTCATTTTATGGCATCTTCCTTTCTAAACATCATTTATTCATTGGGCCTTGTGATTTCGGCGTTGAGTGCGGGGTATTGTTACATAGAAAAAGGGAAATAATCTGATGGATTTTGTGATTTATTAGAAATGGTTGGAAACGAGTTCGAGCTGAAATAATAAAGCAAAACAACTTTGCCAAAGGCTGTAAAAGCATTTCCAGTGACTTGAAAAATATAGAACCTTTTGACTTAATTATACAATTTCTCCTCAAAGAAAATTTTCATATTTCCGTTACTTTTACATCAAAGAATTTGGCCAAGTTACAAGAATTTAAAAATTTTAATGAAAATTTAGTTATGTTAAAATAATTAATGTTGAAATAAAATATTTGGTGGAAGCGATGATCAAGAATTTGTCTTCAATTTAATTTTATAACATTTTATGTTTTAACTTTGATTGAAGTTATGATAAAGAGATGAAACAACTCAATTTTTATAACCCCCATAATTTCATAGATACGATTTTTTTAAACTTGTTCATATCCGAGAAAAGTTCATTTTTATTCAAGCGGACTTTCATCCGACCTGTTTGTTAAGGTACATTATAAAGGCTTCGGTTTTTATCGATCTACAAAAAAACTAAAAGTGTTCTCGGTATTGCTGTTATATTTTGGGAAACCCTTCGACAAACTTTGTTTGTCGAGCAAATAGGCGTCACCAATAAGTATTCCTGTCGTATCCTGCCGATATCAATACCGCTCGGAGATGGCGTGCAACGACAACCTAAATTAAGGCTAAAAGGGAAGCCGTATTTACATCGTTATTCAACGTGGTTATGACAATATTTGCAATAATCTTTAAATGGTCTTTTCAAAAAGGTCGTGAACGAGAATTCATATGTATGCAAGCTTATTCTTGAACATATGGAAACGTAAAAGTTCCAGTTACATAAATATTTTTATTATTTTCTTGTTTTAGTTTTTGAAAGGATGTATTGCGAAATTTCAAGTAACACTTAAGATAGTTTACCTTCAAAGTCTTTCTCGTCGAAAGTTTGTGCGGATTTCTGTGCGCCCGGATCAATTGGAGCCTCATCCTGTGGATCCATATCACCTCACGAATCTAAAAGTTAAAAGAAAAAATATTAAAAACTAAATTTAAAGTATCATGGAAGTCAATATTACTAGACTCTGTAATATAACCGGAACCTGATCGTAACATTGAACAGAATTACAAAGGATTCATTGTATTCAATGTTATGCATAGGCATTTCAATGTCTTTAGTACAACGGTTGCTGATGATAACGAGTTCACAATTAGACTAAAGCTGAGTTCATGTTCAATGTATATGGATCTTTGTATTCAGATTTCATCTGTTCATATAACAACGATGCTTTACGAAGAAAAAAGTTTTATAATCATTTTAGATTACAATTGTTATATTTACATTAAAAGTTGCGTGATGATTAAACACCAAATTGGATCAAATTATTTGAAAATTGTTACTATATACTATCTTACTAAATATAGCAAATCGGACTAAATCGTATAAATTAGTTTTTAGTCGAGTCTAAACAATTATGTGATATAAACCAGATGCGAGAGCTGATTTCCATTCGAATAAACTTAACACAATAGAACTTTTATGGTCGAATTGTTTCAACCACAATTGTTAGCTAATTCATGTTCAATCGATAATCATTTTTGTACTAATTTTTAAAATTTAAAGTGTAAATTTTATAACAACACCATATCTAGTGTTACAACACAGAATCCATACAATTACTTCGTAAAAAGAAGCCTTACTTCATTAAATACCTATCTGAACTGACTTTAGCTCCTGAAATTGGAGGTCAGCAAAATTAGAGGTCGCTTTGTACTCGATTCTCTTTGAAACTTATTATCTTTCAGTCAATCTTCTTTGTTTTGTGTACTTTGAGTAAATTAATCTCATCCCCGTTTGTTTACTTAACCTGTAACACCAAGAGACGTCGCGTTCATTTAAAGTTCAAGATTAATCGGGTTATTAGTTACTAATGTCTTAATCGATAAAGATAAAACCGGAATTAGATGATTGCCACAACTGATTAATACAGAACCTCCGGCTATAAATGACAAATCGATCGATTAGATATGAATAATGAATCAATTGTCTTAGTACATGACCTATTTCTAGGATTTGATAAAATAAATAAAGTTGTTATTGGAAAATACGCGTGACTTGATATGTCGATAACATTTGAACTTTTATAAATGTTCTCTTTTTAATTGATTCATAAAAAAACGTGTTTGATTTATTAGAAGAAAGAAATGGTTGAAAAAAAAGTTTGTAAATACAAAATTTACGAATTTGCATCAGTCTTATTAAATGTAGAATTTATATTCTCAAAAACCAGAAACAGCTAAACCTTTAATTGCAAATATAGGTTTCATTATTTCCATAACCAGAAATTACAGCATTTTGGAATTACTCTGGATACTTCGAGTGAGTCCTTTAATACATTCTCTTCAAGAGTAGATACTGCTGGCAAAAGACTAAATGCTTCTTAAAGATGACTGCATACTGCTGGTACAAGACTAAATAGTGTTAATTATCACTTGTAACTGCCTACATACTATTGGCAGAAAAGAAGGTACATTAGATAACCAGATAGTGCTTAGAGAAGTCTAAATACTGCTTATAGCAGACTATTTCCTGTTGGCAGAAGACTTGACATTACTTGTAGATGACTATATACTATTCGCAGAAGATTAGGACTAGATACTAGTAATGGAAGAGCAGATACTAAGATATGGTCATAATTTAATATGAAGGCATAAATTGTGATGTATCATTTTAAAGAGGATTTATCTTCAATTTGATTTATTGTGGTTAAAGTATAATTAATCTTTATATTAGTAATAACTTAAAGTTTCTAACGTTTATAATTATCAACAAAAAAATAATCTCAAGCGAACATAATTTTAAAATGTTACAGAATTAAGAAATAAATTTTACGTTCCATTCAAGTTGTACAAACAACTTCCACGAATTCTTGGAATTATTAATGAATGATTCATGCTGTACGTCGGATTTCGCTCCAACATTAATCCATCAAAACAAGTAAATTATTAAAATCCCATCCATTATAATAACCGAATTAAGAACTAAAAGCTCTTTGTTTAAACAAAGCTCTACAACGTTGTATCATTTTGTAATACTTTTTGTATCTACTTCCTGACATTGATGGAACGTGTTTGTTTTACATCTATCTCGAACTAAGGAACAAATTAATTCGATTAAACACTCGACTAAAATTACATTAATCGAATTAATTTGGTAAAGTTAAAATTATCTAAATAAACTTACGTCTTTATCGTATTAGTATCGTTGTAACACAACTCTTTACCTGGAATACATTAAATTTTCATGTCGTATTCCGTGCTGATATAGATTCCGTGTAAAGCGATTTGACCTCTCTTTGTACGTATTATGTTTGAATGATTTCATTGAAAAATTCTAGGTAATCAGATTTACCATTAAAAAAATTGTTTTGAATATCAAATGGAAATTTCTATTTCTCGAAAATAGAGTTATTTTATGTTGCCGGATTGAAAATGGAATAAAAATGTATTCCCTGAGGTGAAATTCGATATAAAACCTAGAGATAGATCCTAGAAATAGATCCAATTCTAAATCTCGAAGAATTTTTTAATCTTCCAAAATAACCGTATCGAATCGTTTTATTCCCCCTTGAACAAGTTTGCGCCGTACATTGCGACCAATTCAATTTGCCAATTTGAGAGGCCCGTACATTGTGTCAACACACATGGATGAGATCGTCAGGGCAATTTTTTATTCGTCGTCGTTTCGTACATGTTGATTCAATTTTCACCATTCTTCCTGCCACAACGTTTAATATTCGACCTCTTTTTATCGTCGCAATTTCTCGTCGTTTGCACACAATTTGTAGCGAGAATGTATTCGTTTTGACTATTTCGCAGACGCAATTGTTCCTAACAATACGAAAAATTGGATAATCGTTGCAATTATTCAATCTGCTTAAGAAAATTTTTGTCGGAATTAGCTAGTTTTCTTTTACTTTTACACTTTACTCGTGTTGGTCATTTAAATATCAAGGAGATAGATTTTTATCTTGTAATTTGTTAATTTAGAACTCTAAATGAACTAAAAACATTCGGATTTAGGCGTCTTAAGAGACGTGAGGCTACACCCGAATGTTTCTAATTCTAGGTCTAGTAATAGTTTGTGATAA